AGAAAGAAAGAAAGAAAGAAAGAAAGAAAGAAAGAAAGAAAGAAAGAGAGAAAGAAAGAAAAAAAGGAAGGAAAGAAGGAAGGAAGGAAGAAAGGAAGGAAGAAAGAAAGAACATAGAGAAAGTACATAAAGAAAGAAAGAGAAAGAAAGAAAGAGAAGAGCGAAAAGAAAAAAGAAAGAAAAAAGAAAAAGTAGGAAAGAAGGAAAGGAAGAGAAAGATGAATAAAGAGAAAGAAATAAAAGAACAAAAAGAGAAAGAAAAAAGAGAGAGAAAAAGAGGAAAGGAAAAGGAAAAAGAAAAAAGAAAAAAGGGAAAGCAAATAAAGGACGGAAAGAAGACACCGGGGAGACGGGCAGAACGACCGCAGCGGACGGAACGCAGGGAAGCCGCCCCGCCGCCCGCACCTGGAGCGGTTCGCACTCGGCGGTTCGGTCGCCGCCCCTCCGCGGGGCCCCGCGCGTCCCCCGGCCCCGGCCGAAGTCGGACAGCCGCCGCTCGCTGCTCCCCTCGGGCCGCCCCGAGCCGTCTCTCCCGTTTCGCGGCGCCGCGGCCGTTACGAGCATCGACGACGACCGCTCTGCGTCCGGCGGGGGTTCAGCCGCCCGCTCCGGCAGGTGCGACGCCCGCGACGTGCGGCACGGGCACCTGAGGCCGTGCGGGGAACGGCTCCTGTCCGGGCCTCCCCCGCCGCCTCCCCGGGCCGCCGGCGGGCCTCTGAGGTGGTCTCGTTTGGGGTCGGGGGCTGCGGGAGATGAGGGAAGAAAGGAAGGGAGAGAAAATAGAAAGGAAAAGATAAAGGAAAAAGAAAGAGAGGTAAGAAAAATGGAACAAAAAAAAAAAGAAAAATGAAAAAGAAACAAAGAAATGTGGAAAAGAAAGGGAAGGAAAAGAGAAGGAAAAGGGAAAGAAAAGGGAAGGGAAGGAAAAGGAAAGGGAAGGCAAGGCAAGGCAAGGGAGATGGAGGCAAAACTAAAAGTGTGAAAGAAGGAAAAAAACGAAAGGGAAAGGAAAGAGAGACAAAAGCCCTGAGAAAGAAGGAATTGGAGAACAAATAATTATTGTTACAACCAGCACAAGCCTCATGCACAGCCGCCGTATTCTCGCTGCTGGGCAGGGACGCGCCTGGGAAAGCTGCGGCTCACGGCCCCGCTCTGCCCAACCCCGCGGCCTCGCGTGGGGCTCCGCTTTGGGCTCTGGCTCCCTTTGCCAGCCTCGGCTCCGCGTTATACGTTACGGGGATTTGCGGCTGGCTTTATGCGGTCACTTGCCTGCAAATCCCAACACAGAGATCACGCACGGGGAAATTCTCAGGAATAAAACTGTCAGCCGCCCACCTCCAGCACGAAGCCAACAGGACTTCTTCCCTTCTTTCTCCCTTTCTTCCTCTTTTTCCCTTTTTTTAAACCCTCCCTTCTCCCCCCGTTTAACGGCAGCTCGTTTTGCCCTGCGCTG